TAAACCTTGCACGGTAAATAATAGCTTACTTCTCAACCTACCTGTATAACGTGTTATTTCCTTTTTTGACCACATAACACACTTAAATCCTAATATTTTGTTTTTTTTTATTTTTGTATTATTCTTTGTGTTTTTCACTACTGTAAGCGTTTCTGGCTCGTTTGTATTCCCGTATAGTTAAATTAATAAAAAATGGTACACAAATGCTACACATACAGTACACAAATAGTTGATATACAAATAGTAAGTATAGTACACAAATAGTGCACGAAGTACAGAAATAGTTCACAAAATATACTAATATTACACATAGTACAGCAGCTGTTTATCCTTCGTTTTAAAATAATCATCTTATTTTTCAACCTGTAGGATACAACATATAAATTTATTCTTGATAATGATGGTATCTAAGAATACTATGGAATTATTTATTACTAGAAATATTTATATAAATAATAGGCACATAAGTAGGTATTTATTATAATATGACTCTACCGTTATATTTTTCTTCAAGAAGAACATTTTATAGTCAGGAGTTAATTTATTGATTACAAAGTGATTTCCAACATTACTGTACATGTACGAGTTCAAGCTCTATTTCAGAACTGTATTTATTATTATTTCATTTATTTATTTAAAATATCTCTGGGGTAACCTCAGCAATGAAATCGTAATATAAAAATAAAAGTGTACTGATTTGTAGAAACAATAAAATAAAGGCTTATCTTTCAGCCTAGAAAAAGTTTTATATAGACAATTAAACTCGCATCTAAAAACAGAATTTGCTAACAAAAAAATCTGATGTGTCCAACACATGACTTTCCTATCTAGTTATATAAATGTTTAGAGGATAAACTAAATATATACATTGTCCACATACATCTACCTCGAAACATTTTTCTATAGATATTCATGGAAAACGAAAATACTGAAAAATTTTAATTTCCTACAATTTTTTCATTACGGTCCATTTTAGAAAAATCATGTATAAACAAAAATTATAGAGATCGATATCGCAAACAACTTTTATTTCAAAAACTTTCATAATAAAAATCAGAATTTTGCACATTTTGTCAAATTTCTCGAATACGGACCATTTCAGGAAATTTTTACATAAAACAAAAATTACAGATAATAATATTAGAAGTAACTTTTATTTGAACAATTTTCCTCTCCAAACATAAATAACAGATATATTCCATAAAATATAAAAACAGCCTCCCATAAAGTACCCCCCCAGATGTTCCGACTTTGTCCAAAATCTAATCAGTTCACGTCAGGCCGAAATAAACCTTAAGTTTAAAATTTAATGTTTTTTTCTTTATCCGTTTTTGAGTTTTTTTCAAAATTCGAAATTTACACATTTTCTCAAATATCTCGAATACGGTCCATTTTAGAGAAATTATGTAGAGAATAAAAATTACAGAGAATTATATTACAAACAACTTTTATTTGAACAATTTTTATAAAAAAATATTTTTTTTACATTTTGTCAAATTTCTCGAATACGGACCATTTTAGGAAAATTTTGTATAGAACAAAAATTATAGATAATAATATTAGAAGAAACTTTTATTTAAAGAATTTTCTTCTCCAAACGTAAATAACAGATATATTCCATAAAATATAAAAATGACCACCCATAAAGTACCCCCCCAAATGTTCCGACTCTGCCCAAAATCTAATCAGCTCATTAGACGCTAAAACAAAGCTTAAGTTTAAAATTTGGTGTTTTTCTGTGTATCGGTTCATGAGTTATGCGTTATACAGACACACACACACACACACACACACACACACACACACACACACACACACACACACACACACACACACACACACACACAGACACAGACACACACACACACACACACACACACACACACACACAGACACACACACACACACACACACACACAGACAGACACACACACACACACACACACAGACACACACACACACACACACACACACACAGACATCATCGCGAAAATAGTCAAAACGGATTCAGGGGACCTCAAAACGTAAAAATCCGTCGAAAACTCGAGGTCGAAAAAAATCATGATTCCTATACTTTCCTTATATCTGTATACAGATAGGAAAGTAAAAAGGTTGTTGTGGACTAAATATAAAGGAACAGTAAATTTTAGTGAATAAAAGAGCGAATAAATTACGTTAGCTAAAATAGACCAGGAAATAAAGTAAATTTACCTGTGAAAAGTTAGAACAAAGCTGCCAATTTTTATGGGTGTTTAAAACAAATCGATTTTTTGAAATAGCCGAATAAAATAAAATAAAATAGTATATTACATAACGAGTGTGGAAAGTGACATTTTTCACACGAGTGGGAAATACTGTCGCACGAGACAGAAGCCGAGTGCGACTATCACACGAGTGTAGAAAATCACTTTTCACACAAGTGATGTACAATATTTTCCCTACGACTACAAAATAATGTCATCAAAAAATGTAAAACCAGGTTATTATTACTATAATAATTAAAATGTATTTAAAAAAATAATCAATAATAATCGTATTTATTTAATTTACATATTTATAAAAAAAACCAAAAAATAAATAAAAAAAACAAAATAAAATTCTGACCCCGCCAGGGTTTGAACGCGGTCGCTCACCAAGTCTCAAATGGCAAAGTTGATAACTTTGACGTTCTAACCAACTGAGCTAATAGCCCTTATGTTAATTGAATGATCAGTTATGTATTTAACCATAATAAAGAGCAAACTTATCTTAGTTATTTTAAAATTATTTTAATAATAATTGTTAAAGATAAATATCTAGGATCTAATTTACAACAATTTCAATAATTTAACAATCATATCGATTTTAGTATTAATATGGACATTACATAGATCAAAATATAAATTATGTGTTTGACATTTTCTGACAGCTACGGCGGAAAGTAGCATATTCGTACGCGGGTGGAAAGTAAATTCTTATTCATACGCGTGTGATAAAGTACACTTTCCACTATATAATAATAATAATAATAATAATAATACTTTATTAATCCTTTTTACTTTCCTATATGTATACAGATATAAGGAAAGTATAGGAATCATGATTTTTTTCGACCTCGAGTTTTCGACGGATTTTTACGTTTTGAGGTCCCCTGAATCCGTTTTGACTATTTTCGCGATGATGTCTGTGTGTGTGTGTGTGTGTGTGTGTGTGTGTGTGTGTGTGTGTGTGTGTGTGTGTGTGTGTGTGTGTGTGTGTGTGCGTGTGTGTGTGTGTGTGTGTGTGTGTGTGTGTGTGTGTGTGTGTGTGTGTGTGTGTGTGTGTGTGTGTGTGTGTGTGTGTGTGTGTGTGTGTGTGTGTGTGTGTGTGTGTGTGTGTGTGTATGTAGGTCGCATAACTCATGAACCGATACACAGAAAAACACCAAATTTTAAACTTAAGCTTTATTTCAGCGTCTTATGAACTGATTAGATTTTGGGTAGAGTCGGAACATCTGGGGGGGTACTTTATAGGTGGTCATTTTTATATTTTATGGAATATATCTGTTATTTACGTTTGTAGAAGAAAATTCTTCCAATAAAAGTTACTTCTAATATAAATATCTATAATTTTTGTTTAATACAAAATTTTCCAAAAAATTGTCCGTATTCGAGAAATTTGACAAAATGTAAAAAAATATTTTTTTATAAAAATTGTTTAAACAAAAGTTGTTTGTAATATAATTCTCTATACTTTTTATCCCATACATAATTTCTATTAAATGGACCGTATTCGAGATATTTGAGAAAATGTATAAATTTCGAAATTTGAAGAAAACTCAAAAACGGATAAAGAAAAAAACATTAAATTTTAAACTTAAGTTTTATTTCGGCCTGACGTAAAATGATTAGATTTTGGACAAAGTCGGAACATCTAGGGGGGTACTTTATGGGAGGCCGTTTTTATATTTTATGGAATATATCTGTTATTTATGTTTGGAGAAGAAAATTGTTTAAATAAAAGTTACTTCTAATATTATTATCTATAATTTTTGTTTTTTGTCAAAATTTCGTGAAATGGTCCGTATTCGAGAAATTTGACAAAATGTGCAAAATTCTGATTTTTATGAAAATTGTTGAACTTAAAGTTGTTTGCGATATCGATCTCTATAATTTTTGTTTATACATGATTTTTCTAAAATGGACCGTAATGGAAAAGTGCTAATTTTACATTTTCAGTATTTTCGTTTTCAATGAATATCTATAGAAAAATGTTTCGAGGTAGATGTATGTGGACAATGTATATATTTAGTTTATCCTCTAAACATTTATAGAGATGCTGCAATAGGTTGTACAAAATAACCGGAAAAAGCCTATAATAACTAGATAGGAAAGTCATGTGTTGGACACATCAGATTTTTATTTTAAATATAGAGCCAAGCGAGTCATTATTAAGAAGTTAAAAGATCAACATTTAACTTAGGTCATGTTTAGCAAAGTTCATTTGAAATCACCCTGTATAACAGAATATTTTCTTTGTATTTATTTCAAAATAATTTTAATTAATGTCTTCTTACATTTTTCTTGCAATGTAAAACATTTTTTTTACTGAATAAAAATTGTCATTCCTTTTTTATATATTTTAATAAAAAATAAAATTAAGAAAATAAAATGAATTAGAGGGCATAGTTCTTCATAACCGTCAAAGAATCATTGTTATTGTTTAGTTTTTCACCCTCTAACACATTTTCCCATTCTTTACACATTATTAACCACCGCTAATTATCAGTGCTACTAGAAATACCTGCTTAATTGGCAAATTAACCCAAATTAGCACCAATTTTATCATCATTGTTATCTTAACAGTCGCGTTCGCATTACAATGGATGCAATTTAAGAAATCCGACTCTGATTTATAAAAAAAACTGTGATCGAATCTGCTCCCGTCACTTGCGCTTCCAATTACTTTGTGCTCCACTAACTCCATTCATCTCAACACTGGACAATAATAATTTCAGTAATAAAAACACTTATTTTTTCATCTAGTTGTTCTAGTATAAAAGTAAAACGATTTTACTCAATCGGCATCAGTCTCTTCCGAACATTTAATAAAACAATGTGGTACGCTCGTCTAGCTCTCGCGTTGGCCCTTTTATCAGGCGCCCTATCCGATGAACCGATACAAAAAAGTGACAGAAGTGATTATAAAAGATCGTTCGGTAAAGACTGTAACCATTCGTACACATCGACATGCTTGAAATTGGATATAGTTAGCTGGGTTGACAGGCTCAACGAAAACGACAATGTCAGTGTGTTTCCTGGATTATCTATAGTGCGGGAAAACGTGAGTGCTAGAGCTAACACAGCCGATATCGTCGCCGATTTAGCTCGCGACTACCCAAACGATCCGGATGCTAGATTAGATGCTTTTTTAATAAAAAAAGTCCATGGATTTTTTACTAGTCATTCAGTGAAACTCAACCTCTTTGACCAGGATAATGCGGCGTCTGCACGTAAAGGAGGCGGTGGCGGAGGGGGCGGTGGTAAAAAAGGTGGAGGTGGGCTTGGAATGATCTTCGCTGCCGCCGCTATGATGAAAGGTACGCTGCTAGCCCTTGCGTTGGGAGCCTTAGCTGCACTTGCTGGTAAAGCCTTGATGACAGGCCTCATCTCATTATTACTATCAGCTATTATTGGTCTTAAATCTTTATCAGGAGGTGGGGGAAAGACTACTTACGAAGTTGTGTCCAAACCTGTTTATACGCACTCTACTTCACATTCGTCTGGACATGAAGATTACCATCATGGGGGAGGAGGCGGGCATTCTGGTTATGGAAGGAGTTTCGATATGCCGCTACCGTTGGGGCTGCAACCGGAGTACAAACCAGCTTAGAACAGATCTCTATTTTTTTATTATTTGTTATTTATTGTTTGTGAATAAATTATTTATTTATTGTTTAATGCTGGTTTTATTTTAATAATTTCTTCAGATAATTTATAACGATTATAGGTTGTTATGGAAGATTCAGAAGACAGTAGGAATAAAGGAAAACAACTTTGTTATACTCAGGTCGTTCTTGTTATGAAAGAATTTTTGATATGGTGCTACAGCTGCAACCAGAGTTAGAACCAACTTACAACAGTTTTCTGTTTGTTGTTATTTGTTTTCTGTGAATAAATTATTAATATATTATTTAGAGCTAATTTTCTTTTTTTTATTTATTTTACTATGGACAATTTATATTAGTTACAGGATGGAAATTCTACTTTTAAAAAATACAGACAAAAATAGGAATAAAGGTAGGTAAAAAAAAACTTTCATATAATTACTTAGGTGCTGTGAATTGGAGAAATTTTAAAAAAAACCCAAAAAAACAAAAGCCAAGCTAAATCAGAAACAGCAAGAGATAAAATAGTTAATCAAAGTGCTAATTATTTAAGAGCGTTATGCATGTGCTAAAATTGACTTAAAAGTAATTCCAAGATTCCAGGCCTATTTTTTAATATTTTTTTATGAAATTTGGCATGCCTATTTATATAGTCGTGCATAATGGGGCTACGGACTCCAAATTTGGATATATACATATATAAAAAAAACATTTTTGATATATCAACAAAGCAAAATGTAATAAAACGAGTCTGTAGAAGTATCTTTATTCCAAAAATATGTTTATTTCAACTATTTTTGTTTCTACAAAGCCTATTTTTTTTTTGTAAACCTGGAAATACTAAAAATCAAAAGCTGTATTTAGATTTACCCGAGATAATAACTACTTAGCAACGTCGCACTGATATTGACCATGTCTCCAGGATCGGCTTGCCGTTTAACCTCTAACCAGACAGGTTAAATGTTCGTGACGCTGCTGCAACGTGTCCAACGATGTCATTAATCATTCAATTATTCAATAAAGGATAAAAATAAAACTGTCGTCAGAAAACAGTTTTGTTATACATATAAGCAAAATTATCTACTGCAAAAAACAAATATTTCAAATAACTAGGTATCAAGTTTCAATGTATATCTATTTTCATTTAAAAAATTTCTTTACCTTAGGCCTATAAAAAATAGGCCAATAACAACTACTTTCGCAAATAAATTACTACACACTAGTCGCCCCCTGTATATGCTTCGATTCGATCACATAGTTGAAAGCTGGAACTATTTGATATATTCCCTTCTCCACCAATCCCCTCATCTCAACACTTTGCTTTAGTCATTTCATAGCATACTTGTTGCAACTTAAAGGGGACTTTAGAAATATTGGGTGGGTCTGGGACTTATTTACTTCGACGAGGCATCATATAATTAAGATCGAACTTCACTTCAGGTAAGTTCGTTTGATCTTATAATTATATTTCTGCCTCGTCTCGTAAATAAATATATATGTCGCTGTTTAAAGCATGTTGCAACAAAAATTACGATAAAGCATTTTATTTATATTTAACTGATTACAAGTTTAAAATTTCTATTGTCATAATTGACACACTTTCAAGAAAACTTAAAAAATAGAGATATGTCATGTGCTCTAAGAGGAAAAAAAAATTGCTCCATAGCAATTACTCAAAATGAAGTTTATCCATAAGCTGATGGTCTGCGTAGAGGCAGCATGATGCGGCTTCCTAATTATAATGTACAGAGGCTACCACAATTACCCCTTAAGTCTTTAATTTTTTCTATTTACTCTAACAAGGTTGTTGCTAAGCAAATAACTGGGTTTTAATAAGAGAAAACGGAAGGTTTATGGGATAAACTAAATTGTTAGCTGATATCTTTAATTTTTTCGTTACCGTTTTCTGAATTTTTTGTTCTTTTCTGACAATTCTGTATCTCTATGGCTATAAAATTTGAATGTGCTAACCAATATACAGTGTGGAAAACACTTATGGAATAAAATTCTTTATGTCATTATTTTAGAAAATTGTAAAAAATGCCGAGACACGTCAACTTTTGAATTGAGTTCTGCGTTATGTAAACATAAATTTAAATGTACAGGGTGATTCACGCAAGTATGCCATAGTCGGTGTTGTTTTTTTTTAATGAAACACCCTGTATATTTGCATATTTTTGAAATCCTCTTAATGAACCGATTCCAACAAACTGAATAATGTATGGTCAATTATGAATTATACAGGGTGAAATTTTAAAATTAATAATTTATTACACTTGAAATATTGGTACTTTTTTAAATTAGCTAAATATGGATTTATCACAAATCTAAACTAACTAATTATTAGACGTATTTGTACAATTAAACAAAACCTGCTACGCCCATGAATTTGATCATAAATACCTAAAAATTGCCTAAAAACGCCAATAATTAGACAAAATCGGTAAATAATGTGAATTGTTTTCTATTCTGTCAGTTGTTGATGTGTTGAGAGTTTATACTGAAAAAGTAAAATCTTTGTCAAACACTCTTTCCTTGTCGACATAACAATGAAATATTTAACTGAGACTCACCGAATTGAGATTTTAATGATGATCGGGTACGGGGATAACTGCAGAAGTCAAGTTGAAGTGGCAAACTTATTTAATCACAGGTATCCCGAATTGCCTAATATTTCACAAAGTACTGTGTCTAAAATTCATGCACAATTCAGAGAACTTGGACATGTCAAACCATTGAAAAGAAAACCACACTTCGTTGAAGATGATGTGAAAGTGGATATTTTGTTAAGTGTCGAAGAGAATCCAACTTCAAGTACACGTCAAATTGCCCGTGAAAATAATGTTAGTCATACAACTGTTCTAAGATGTCTTCATAAAGAAAAACTTCATCCCTACAAATTAACTTTTGTGCTGGAGTTAACAGAAGACGATCCAGATCGTAGAATGGATTTCTGCGAAAGATTGATGAATAAGCTGAACAGAAATGAGATAGCTCTTGGTACCATTCTTTTTTCTGACGAATCAACATTCACATTGAATGGAGAGGTAAACCGACAGAATTGTAGGTCAGTAGAGAATCCTAATTAAATGCGTGAGACACATACTCAGTACCCTCAAAAGGTGATCGTTTGGGCTGGTATCATAGGCGACCATATTATTGGTCCTATATTTATAGATGGAAATTTGACAGCTGAAAAATATTCAAATATGCTTAGAAATGAAGTTATTCCTGCGTTGGCAAACTTATATCCCAACGCAATAGATCCTAGCTTACCGAATGAAAATGTTTGGTTCCAGCAAGACGGGGCAACACCTCATTATGCTTTAATGGTAAGAACTTATTTAGATGAAATCTTCCCCAATAAATGGATTGGACGAAGAGGTACTATTGAGTGGCCAGCTAGATCGCCAGACCTTACGCCGTTAGATTTTTTCTGTGGGGTTATCTCAAGAACAAAGTATATGCAACACAACCAACTAGCATTGTAGACCTCAAAGACAGGATAACTACAGAAATACGGAATATTTCACCTCAAACTTTAAACAAAGTTAAGGAGGAGTTCTACAGGAGACTGTGCTATTGCCAACAACTAGGTGAAGGACATTTTGAGCATTTATTTTAATGTATTAAAATCAAATACATCAGGTATTTTATGTATGTGTTTAATAACTGTCAAAATAAAAATTTCACCCTGTATAATTCATAATTGACCATACATTATTCAGTTTGTTGGAATCGGTTCATTAAGAGGATTTCAAAAATATGCAAATATACAGGGTGTTTCATTAAAAAAAAACAACACCGACTATGGCATACTTGCGTGAATCACCCTGTACATTTAAATTTATGTTCACATAACGCACAACTTAATTCAAAAGTTGACATGTCTCGGCATTTTTTATAATTTTCTAAAATAATGACATAAAGAATTTTATTCCATAAGTGGTTTCCACACTGTATAAGACCAGTAACACTGCTAATTTATTGGTAAGCTTTTGACACTACATTTATATCCCACGTGTTTTCTTATTTAAGCACATCTTGTCTTAAACCTAAAAAACTTCTAAAAAAAAAAATCTTTTTATCTGAAAATATTGTGCCATTTCAGGTTCAGCTATTTGCGCTATATCTAATCTGTAACAGTTAAGTGAAATATATGATGAATCACTATAAAATTGTCTTGTTAAACATTCTAACATGGACTTCCAACTACAATTTTAATGGGGAGTTAAATTTTTTAGGCATAGTATCCGATATCCATGAGAGTTTACTTACTGATCCTAACATCGGATAATCACGAGTTACATCCTCATTTTAATTTGATTGTGAAATCAGATATTCAATATTTATTTTGAGCTATTTTCCGACTACGATATCGGATATAATTTATGTATATTTATAAAATAAAAAGCAAGTACCTATACAACCTTTAATTCGTCATCAAGTTACAGGTCGATCATGATATTTAATAATCATGAGTTACATCCTAATATAAATCTGATTGTGACATCAGATAATGACTATTTATTTTAAGCTACATCTCGACTAAGACATTGAAATTATTTTTTATATATTTTATTTATGAGATCCATAGTAAGTGTACATCCTTAACTGCTTCATCGGATAATCATGAGTTACATCTTCTTTTTAATCTGATTGTGATATCAGCTTCTCATTACGTAATATTGAGCTACATTCCGATTACTACATGGGATAGAATTTAATTTTTTTGGCTTAATAGCTATTCTATACCGTTTGTAAAGAGGCATAGATGCTTACTTGCATATTATGTAGGAACTACTAAAATTATTTTTTGTTGGTTCTTTAATATAAACGCTTTCATTTATCAATTGACCTTAATAATTATGTATAGATATTTATTAAATTAAAACATAATTTCATAAAATATTTTATTAAATATTTCTACAAAAAAAATGCCTATAGGAAAACAAAAAATTCATAAATATAAACCTCAGTCTAAAAAATAATTTGGCAAAAGGCA